AGCACATTTGGATATAAATGTGTACGTGTGATCGATAAACTACTCTTAGAAACCGGGGACGAAAAAAACTGAATGGAAACACCGCTTTCAGAACTACGAATCGTTTTGATCAAATCTGATAAAACTTGAGTATCCTTTGAGGTTGTGAGAACACTTTTCACAATTTTCCATCGCGGACAAAAATTAATCTTCAAAAGGGTCTCTTTTTATTCGCTTTGGCCAATTGAAAATTAAATTGAACAGCTGATTTACGGAAAATGAGTTCTTTAGTCACTGAAAAGTTGATCTTAGAAAAGAAAAACAACAAAAAAGTGGAATTAGACGATTGAAATAACTCATTTATGTGCTCGAATCTTTTCATTTTATAATAATAATAATAATTCACTTTATACAGTAGCTTCCGAGATAAAAGTCATTTCGACTTATTTAATTCCCATCTTCAGTGTGCTATTCAACTCCATGCCGGAAAAGCAGTGAGTAAAAGAGAGAGTGAGAAATTGGCTATATAATAATAATGTAAAAAGGAAAATGCAAACAAATAAACGATGAAAATCTGTCGCGAGTGCATATTTTTTTCTCGCTCTTTTCAAGAACAAAGAAAACGAAAAATCAGCTGATGTGCCAGTTTTACAGTCGTTGCCGTCACTGAACTGACACAATAATTCTCTAATTCGTTTCGTCGCACGTTTCGTGTTATTTTTTTTTTTCGTTTTCTTCGGAAGTCTTTTTCTTCTTCACGTTGCACGTCACTTCATTAAATGTGCCGCACAAGGATTTTTTCTCAGTTGTCGGATTGAAAAGTCTGCGGAGCGAGAAAAAAAACGAAAAACAGAAACAAAATGACATTATGTATTTAAATAAAAGTTGCGAATTGCGCGTCTAGTGCAGCATAAAACCGTTATGTATTCGGTAAGTAGATGCGGTGCAGAGAGAGAGAGAGAGAGAGAGAGAGAGAAAAGTGCGAGAGATTCTCATCTTAATTTTCATGCCTTGTAATTTGAACTTTATTTACCCTTTACATTTACGATTTGCTTTGTTTTCTCAATAAGTATATCTGCAACAGCTTGAGAAATACGCTTACTTTAAACCATTTGCCGTTGTTAACGTTTCGTTAATTGTGATAGTGTTGATGTTCAAATGCTCCATGACTTTAAAAGTGAATGAAAAAAAATTCCTTCTGTTCATATTTCGTCAATGTGCATTTTTTTGTTATTCACGAAGTAAGTTGACGTCGACACTCCAAAAAAAGTGAGAGACGGAATCATATTCACGTTCATTTATATGGAGCGCAGTTTTTTCTTTACGCTCATTTCAAGCATTTATGTAGTGCAACGAGCGCAATGATTTTCACGCGCGTTGAATATAAAAAATGCTGAATTCGTTTCGTCTTCTGCCTGCTTTGTCTCTTTCTTTCTCAATCTCACTCTATTTCTCTTTCGGTTTCTGGTACAAGTAGCGGATACATAGCAAATTCGTGTGCAATGAGAACGTGAGTGCGGAAGAGTGAGCTGGCGTGAATTTTATAGACATTCTACGTAGAATGAAGTCGAGAGAAAAAAAAGCGCACAACGTCTGAAACTGTGTAAATTGCAAGAAAATGTTGTGTATTTTTCAAGAGCAAGCGAACGGCATCTGAAACACAAGTACGGCTGTGGCGAGAAGAAAAAAAAGCACGCGCAACGACAACAGCGAGCAACGAAAGTAGAAAAAATTCATGATAAATATGAATATTTATTTGAATATTGTGGAAGGTTAATGTCAGTCTCATGCGAAAGTGAATTTTGTGCATCGACGATGAACTTTTTCCACACAAAACGCCAAATGTAATCTTGAATAAAAAAAATAGCTGACGCTCAAGAGAGCGAAAAAAAATCGATAACAGTGAAACTTTCGTTGGTTTTTTTTTCTTCATTGTCGCACAGTCTTCGAATGATTTTTTTTGTTGTCATGGAATAAGGTCATGCGACAGTTCATATTTCAAATTGAAAATTAAAACAATGAAGTTCGTTAACAAGTGAAACAAGTAAATGGGCTAATTTTCAAAAGGAAACACAAATGATTCGCAACAGCCACCAAATGCAAATTCATAATTTTTCATTTATCATTTACCATAGAAATTAATTCAAAGTCAAAATAGAATGCCAAGAAATAATCAGTCAAAATACGTTTAAACACACGCTTTTAAGGTCACACCCAGTTCATTTGCGACTCATGTGTCCGTCCACTGTACATCTATAATTCAATGACTATTTTTATTTGAATAAATGCTCACGTTGAGTGTGCAAATGGCTTCGGTCGTTGTACATTTTTCAACAATAATACCACCAAAAATAGACTGTGTGCGGCCGCCACCTTTTTCAATTTTCAACCGTCTATCTATCGCTAATGCGATGAACGATTTTGGGCGCGAGCCAGTACCTTTTTCTCTCTCTCTTCTTCTCTTTTGATCCCCGTTCATTTGCGATTCATTGTATTCGTCCATTAAATTATTCGGTGCCCCGTTTCATTTCGAATTTCATGTGCGTTTAGAATTTTTTTTCTCATTTGGTGACCTCTTCAAATGACCCTTGTCCAGTTATTTTGGAAACTATGCGGTTCGTTGAATATATATCAAATCATCGGGACACATGAAGGAAAGGGTTGGAACACAAAATGAAATTGGATTCTTCGGTTCTTCATTTCATTTTTGATTTTATTTTCTGCAAGCAACATTTAGCAAACGGTCAGATTTTTTTTTTGATGACGATTTTCGCCATGAGCTCGACTATTTGAAAAATAAAACTGATTTGTTCGATATGAAACATTTGAAACTGAATCAACAAAATGCCAAAATTCCATTTTGGACATAGTTTCATTTGATGATGAATTTGAATGTTTGAAACCCTTTTCCGGTGTTCAATCAAAACCTAAATGGAAATGAACATTTGACGGTGCACACAAATGTAGCGATTTGGATGCAGGTAAACACTTTTTTGTTATTGTCATCAGCGATAGAGAGTATTTTAGCGTTTCTCATTCATTATGGGTAGGCAAACATATTTCTTTTTGATCGCTGCTCTTTGCAGACGCTCTGGCAATATTGCCGTCGCGTGATTTCATTTCCAGGTAGACAAAAATGAATCGTTAAATTTTACAAGCGAACGAAAAAGGATTGTAAACTAACACAATAAAATTATTACATCCGAGACTGTATCCCGTCAGCCTCATTTGCATATTATCGAAACAGATGTAAAAAAAGTTCCAAACACCGTACGCATATGCAGATGATGATCACAAATGCCTGCTATAAAAATTAGGAATAAAATGATTGTCTATTCTCTTTTTTGTCATTTAGTTTTTTATTCTGTAAATTTGGGTTCATGTATGTTCATCAATCTCACTACTGATGCACTGATGCATCTTGTCAATTTAAACAAATCAGAGCGTTTCGTACGAGACATGTGTTTAATTTATGATATTAGAAAATATACTCTTTTGAGATTTTCGTTTCGAAACCGTTTTCTTCTTTAACATTTTCTAGAACATTCCAAAGGGAGAAAATCATTTCTGAAAACGATTAGAATACAAAATACCAAAAAGATTACCCGAACTTCAAAAGTTATATCCATTTTCCGCTTAATTGAATCATAGATCCGAGGATTTTCATGCGCTAAAAGTATTTCCTTACTGTCATCCAAACCAATTGGAAATTAGAATGGCACGAAATGTGTAAATCCCAGAATGAAGCGATTTCGCGGTTGAGTTTTACTTCAATCAGGAAATATCATGTCAATCGTGACAACAAATTATTTCCGATTGTTTTTCAATGGCATTTCTTAAGCAAATCTTTGATGAAAATCAATACAGACACGATATCATGTGAGAGACATTCAATTGAATGGAAATGGGATTTAGTTGTCAATTGTTTCAAGACGATTTGTTCTGATTGGTGTCTTTTGAAAAAGGAACATTTTTGCTTGCGAAAATTTATTTTTTTGACCCAAAAAGAATTTTTAAAAGTGTCGTAGTTAAAAAGAAGATGCGTCAAATGTTAGTCAATTTAGTTGGTTAAAAGTAATATTGCAAAAAAAAACTGTTTCAAAAAATTATTCAATTGATTGAAAATCGGTAAAACATCGAATTTGAAGTGGAATAAATAAAACGGTGATACGCACAAAACATCGAAAATAGGCGGAGTTTATTTTCTGACTTGAATACCCTCTCCATAACTTTGCTCCCTTTTACATATGCGTTCACATATGCGTATAATCATATGTGCTCGCTGAAATAATACCCTATCGCATTATGTACAACACCACACACATACGACGAATACATACAACCGAACGGTATGTGGAGAGTTTACACATACACACATACGTGCACACTTTCACATCAATTCTACATGAGTCGAACCCTCATCCAAAATATATGTGATTCGGCTAACGTTTGGTTTTGACTTCCACACAATATATGCAATGCAAAACACCAACCAGAGAGATAACCGACAATCGATTTATATACGCTGTTGAACGTTGGATAGATACAAAAATACATGAAATGTTTTGGTGATAATATAGAAATGAAGTGGACAAATATTATCTATTTGAACAAATTGAATGGTTTGAATTAAAATGTTTCTGATGAAAAAACCCACGCACAAGGTATTTCTCTATATTTTATGAAACAATGAGACTGAAAATTATATCTTTTATATTTTAAATTAATTTCATTGGGCAATGGGCAAGTTTTCGCCTTTTGTCAATTCAAATCATTATTTGGTACTTTTGGCTCGCACACTGCTCAATTACTCTCGTTTTGAATGAACAAGTTTGTTATTTCAATGAGCAAATAAAGTGAATAAAGGAAGAAAAATAATTGAGAAACTGACATTGTAAGTATTTTGTCACCAAAATGGAATGCTATATTTTAAATAGCCAATGACTAGCTGAAAAAATAAAAAAAAATAGAATGAGTTGATTCAATAAACTTTTTTATTTGATTTTCAGTAAAGTCGTGTATATATAGACAGGCTTTGTATATAGTGGATAATAAATGTATATAAGTATAGATGCAATATAATAGAAGCACTTCGGAGGCACTGAAATTGATTCATTCATAGTAGATACAAAAATAAATTAATATTCATAACATACTGTGATCATTTCTATTTCTGAACTTCAATAGTCAATACAAAATAGAGATGTGTAAACGTATATTTTTCTTTGTGTTTTCGTTGCTTAGAGTTAATCCAAAAATGTGTTGTATATTGGAGTTGTGTTTATCGTTCGGAACACGTCGTTCAGATTAATATTTCTGAAGGATTTCTTGTGTGATTGGTTGTTTGTTGTTAACATTTTCAGGCAGTTTACATTGTGCATTATGGGTCTGTTGCATCCATCCGCCTGTTGATTTTTCCTCTTCTTCCGCTTTCTTCCGTTCTTTTTCGATCTTTTTAAACTGTTCAATCTCATATTTATACTTTGGTGTTGTTATTCCAAGGGCCGAGGCAATTTTTTCACCAACATAGTCACACGTGGCAAGAACTCTATTGCCGCCCATTAAAACGTAATCAAACATTGTTGACGGACCTTGCCCTTTCTACAAAAATATTCATAGAAAGTGAAAGTTGGTTAAAAATCGATAACATTTCATTCATTCGGATAACATTATCCACACGCGACTCGAGGTCATTTACACTAATGAGCAAGGTCATTGTATTGTGTCAGAAAACAAATCAAAGGTGTGAGTCATACACACACACACAATTACCTCATCATTTCTGTAATCCTTATTTTTTCCGTCCACTTCATCATCTGTACTGTATTCTTCCATTGTTCCATCACTAAAATGCAATATTCGCCTTGGAGTCTTTATATGAACTGATGTTAATGCCGTTGGAGGTTGTTGTTCAGATTCACTTAACTTTGAAATCACTTGCAATTCCGTCATTCTCACGGACAATGAATTTGATTAATTTTCACTGATTTTACTTAAATTATTAAATTTGTTGATATAAAATCACACTTATTTTAACTGGATAAGCTTGAAGACAAGAGTTTTTTGAAAATAATCAACTCGATTGTGTTAATAGTTTATTTACGCACCTGCTATCACTGACCTATGTTGATTTGTTTGGTTTTCATTTACATACTGAATGACAGCTCGTGTCTGTTGTTGTTTATGGCAATTTCATTGTCAAATTGTTATTTCCATTTTAAGCATACTGTCGTCAACGCCATCTATTGATAAGAGTGAAAACTTTTCAACATAACTTTTAGATAACTTGTTAAAGCTATGATTTTACTTTTTCAAGTAGAAACATTTCAGCAAAAAAACATGCTTTTTTATTTTCATTGATTTTGCGTTGTAACGAAAACGAATTATCTCGGAGTTTTTCGTGATTTTAATTTTTTAAATGTGAATTTTAAGAGAGATTTTTTGAATGAATTTCAAAAAAAAAGAACTTTAGAATGAAGAACCAACTTGAAATCACTGGATATACCAAATATTTTTCAAAAAAATTATTTTATTCGTCGCAAATTCTAAAAGTGATATGATAGTTTTTACATAGTAAATTTTTCAAAAAAATAATTTTATACGTCGCAAATTCTAAAAGTGATATGATAGTTTTTACATAGTAAATTTTTCAAAAAAATAATTTTATACGTCGCAAATTCTAAAAGTGATATGATAGTTTTTATATAATAAATTTTTCAAAAAAATAATTTTATACGTCGCAAATTCTAAAAACGATATGATAGTATGTTTTTCATATTTTGTGTCGATTAATTTCGATCTAATTGGATCTTGTCAGTACAGGGTAGTTAACAAGCTAGGATAACAACCTGTATATTAATCGTTTTTATTTTTAATTATATTTTCTTTATTTCTTTTTTTTTACATTTTAACAGATTAAAATAGAAGTGCAAGTCTTGGCAGAAGGCCAAAAATGTTTAGATTGAGAGTTTTTATTTCTTTTTCTACATTTTTACGTTATATTAAA